ATATGTAAGTGTTTGTTTCCGCTCCTATTTATCGTCTTTATTTGCTTTGTCTTGGCCATTTCTCCCCACTTTGCTGGGTGCCCATGCTGCTCCCGCCCACCCCGGGTCATCCTTTCTCCTCCCTTCCCTGATAGCTTTTCCAATGACTAACAGGAACCCAGCTCAGCTGGTTTTTATCACGCTCCTGTCCTTGCATTTTTCCGACTCAATTAAGCCATTACCGGGGCTAAATGAGGCATGGACTCTCCAAAAGTCACACCTGTTGTCTGGGAGACGGAAGGTAAACCTGTGCAGCTGGCGGGCAGAGGCAAGCAGGGCTGGAGGGAAGCAGTCGAGTGTGACCAGAAGTTTCTGTGCCCCCAGTGCTGCCAGCGGGCCCTCATTTTATTTTATTTTTTTATTTTTATTGAATTTATTGGGGTGACATTGGTTCAGGAAGAGTGCCCTCATTTTAAACAACATGTCCCTTGCTTTAATACAGAAGGAATGAAGTCTGACACAAAACTGGGGAATGGTCACATTGGTGATGACAGATAAAACACCCCTAATTCTTTGGCAAATGTGTGCCGGGTGTGCATAAAAACCCACATCGTGGACTTGTGCTCAGTAAGAGGTAAAAAAAAAAAAAAAAAAAAAAAAAAAAGCTTAAAAAAAATGCTGTAATCTGAGCCAGGTACTCACACAGAGTTTTGATGGAACTTGCTCAGGGTTTTCCCTGTCCACTCACATTAAAACATACATGGCTCACGTTTGTCATAGTGGCTTCACACCTCACAGTTCGTATCCTTTGTGATACGTGTGACAAAAGAGGGCACTGATCACAGCACAATCAACCAGAGACAAATCAGCATACTCCCACAAAGAAGATAAACCATCTCTATTGGAAATACATTTTGGTTTCATAATCACCTTTATGCTAGGCAACCTAGAATTTTTATTTCTGCAGTCTAGGAATTGAGAAATCATAGATTTTTAGCTTGCCATGCCTCTAGCTTTTTGAGTAGTTTTAGGTTTTGAAGGTCTATGCCCCACTTGCCTCTAGCTGAACTGTGGGCAAAATCATTCTGCTCTAGAATTAATTACACCATTTCCAGGAATTGTAAAGGTCAGGGTGGTTTCTACTTTGATGAAAGTTGAAATAATGCAGTGTTAGATCTAACCTTGCCTTGCTAGCCTCTGTTCATTTGTCCTCACCTCTGGAACTTGGATGAGTCATGCAACTTGTTGGACAAATGCAAGACCAACATGTATTTGTTGAGCATCCGTTCAGTGCCAGGTTCCTTGTTCCATGTTGGGGATGCACCTGGGATCATGATGAATCTCCTTCCTTTAGGAACCTTCAGTCTTGTGGGGTGACCCCTTCCCTATAGAATTGCTTGATCAGCTTCTAGTTTTTCCTGATCATGTTTCACTCATTCATTCAGAAAATATCTGTAGCCGAAACAGGTTTGGCTCAGTGGATAGAGCGTCAGTCTGCGGACTGAAAGGTCCCAGGTTGGATTCCGGTCAAGGGCATGTACATTGGTTACAGGCACATCCCCGGTAGGGGGTGTGCAAGAGGCAGCTGGCCGATGTTTCTCTCTCATCGACATTTCTAGCTCTCTATCTCTCTCCCTTTCTCTCTGTAAAAAATCAATAAAATATATTTTTTTAAAAAGGAAAGAAAAGAAAGGAAAGGAAAGGAAAGGAAAGGAAAGGAAAGGAAAGGAAAGGAAAGGAAAGGAAAGGAAAGGAAAGGAAAGGAAAGGAAAGGAAAGGAAAGGAAAGGAAAGGAAAGGAAAGGAAAGGAAAGGAAAGGAAAGGAAAGGAAAGGAAAGAAAAGAAAAGAAAAGAAAAGAAAAAAAATATATCTGTAGAGCATTTACTAAGTTTCAAGCACTGTCCTTGGTGCCAGGCTACCATGATGAGGAAGAGACAAACCATACCCTCAGGAAGGCCCCAGTCCTCAGGAAGGTCTCGCTCCTGGAGCCACCAGAGAGAACATCACTCTTCCCTCTGTGCTCCCTCAACATTTAGTTCATGCCTCTTCCTAATATATACATCACTGTAAGTATCAATATAATGCATCCTTTTGTCTCCTTTTAAGCCACGAATACATTGAAGGTAACAATCACAACTTTTTCTCCCACGTGCCTTACACTCCCTTGTGTCTAGCACATAGAGGGGCTTAATAAATGCTTTTCAAGTGAATAAATAATCATATGAATTTAGAAATTCACAAATCTATAGAACCATAGATCAGTCTGCCTTGACCTTTCATCCCATCTCTCTCTCTTTCTTCTCTCTCTCTCTCTATTTCTCTCTTCTTAAGTATGAGAAAAAGATAAGAAGGGAGAGGGAAAGAGAGATTAAAAACATCAATGATGAGAGAGAATCATTGATCGGCTACTTCCTGCATGCCCCCTACTGGGGATCGAGCCCACACCTAAGCATGTACCCTGATCAGGAATTAAACTGGTGGCCTCTTGGTTCCTAGGTTGATGCTCAACCTCTGAACCGTTTTGGCAGGGCCGCACCATATCTCTTGGATGAAGAACTCATTGACCCTCATCTGTCAGTACTGGAACACTCCTCACAATTTCAAGGACCTTCTAAACATAAAACCAGCTGGTCCACGGATCATTTCTTCTTCCAAATGTACCTGTCGTTGAGATAAAGAACAAATAAAGCTTTAGCTTGTGCTTAAAATACTCTCTTTTTTTTTCTTTTTCTTTTTTACAGAAGGCAAATAGGATTGTATATGATTTTAATGAAATAAACATAGTAAGGAGAACAAATGAGTTTATTTGTGACTCTTGGATAGATATGGTTAATAGAGCTGCAGGAAGGAAAAAAATATAATAGCAGTGGCTTACACAAGCTAGACGCTTTTTTTCTCTGTCGTGTAAAAGTCCACATGGAGGTTCTGCTCCATGAAAGCCTCACCTCATGGCACTGAGTTCCCTGGCTCCTGGTTCTGGATGGGCTCAGCTATCACTTCGCCTCCATACAGCAGAGGGGAGGAAAGGGGGGCGAAGGGACAAACAGCAAACACCAACTCTCTCTTAAGCAAAGGTTCCTGGAAGCTGCCACAGGCAGTTCAGTTTGCATCCCATTGGCCAAAATGACCACACATAATTATAAAAGAAGTTGGGGAAAGTAGTCTTTTTATTTTAAACAACCACTTGTCCAACTCAACACTATTTTACTATGGCACAAAAGGAGTATAGATGCGAGGGATGCAATTAGAAGTCTATCACAAATAGTCTATCCATTGTCCTATGTGCCCCTTGCCTTAAGTGGGGCTCTTAAGAGGCAAAGGGGCGCATGTGACAATGGATAAAACTGAAGTGTTAGTGATTATTCAAGAACTTTTGTATTCTCACTGTTATAGGCTGAGGTGACAATAATGAACTCCAATGGTTCACCCACAGTGTTACAATCACACTTGGTACTGCTCTGGTTGTCCATAGCTAGGAGGAGGAAGGAGTGAAGAAGAAAGAAAAAAGCTTTTGCAATAAGGAAGTTGGGGTAGAGGTGATGCAGTGAGGAAAGGAATAAAAGGAGGAAGGCAGAGTGGAAAGAGATAGTAGAATCAACAGGACAAAGTGATTGGATATTGGAAGAAAGGGAGGGGAGGAACCTAGAATGATTCTCAGCTTTGAAAGCAAATTAGACCCTGGTAATTGGACTAAAAATGGTGGTTTGGAGACTACATTAGATTGATGGGGTTAACTACTGCAAATTGACCTGAAATCTCTCCTTTATCTGTTTTTTTTTGCCATGAATTTTCTCTTGAATGGACTAATGAAGTTAATAAACTTTTCTAAGTAGTTAATCTTTCACAGGAAAAAATTAACAGGTCTCAGTGACTTAACCAAGCCTGTTATAATGTTCCCTCTTCTAATTCAGAACATTACACAGGACTCCTTAAAATTAAGTTCTTGGGGCATTCTTAATTTAATGTCAGAATTTCTCACTTGACTAAGCTGACTATTTGGAGAATCTATCCCCGCAACTGGAAAGTAGATTTGGTGTTGTTGCCCTCTTTACAGTTGTGAAGTTTAAAATTCATTGAATGTTTAGAGGACCTGCCTTGTGACTGGTTCGGTAAATGCTAGTTTCTGTCTCCTTCCAAAGTACTTTTTCTAATGCATTCATACAAACATTTATTCAGTGGTTACTATTTCACGCTATGCTGAGTGCTGTGGAGGAAAAAACTGAATTTAGTCATTGAAAATGAATTTATAATATTTTTTCTCACTTCTGGATGTTGAGGTAAAATGTAATCCTCTGCAGCAGAGTTGCCTGCCCCTTGGACTGGGAGTTTCTGAGGACAGGGAATAGGTAGGTGTTTGTTACTTTGTATTCCCAGGCCTTAGCATATGTATTTACTAAATGTATGATTGAATATATGACTTAAGACTCAAAAATAAATAAATAAATAAAAATCTAAAACCAAGACGGGAGTTAGAGAACCTAATGTTCAGACATTACTGGAGGCCCCTCCATGAATGCTGAATATCTATCTGCTGGGCTGCTCACACCATGTGTGGCTCAGGATCCTCTTCTAGAATGGCTGTTAGAGGAGGTGGGGCTCTTAAGAGGAAAGGGGAGCATATGACAATGAATAAGAGCTTGACATTTATGCATATAATTATAATAAAATTTGATGAATCTTTCAAGAAAGGAACTCCAAGATCCAAGATACAAAAGACTATAGCAGGTGGACCTACCTGGTGTGAGGGCTCAGGAAAGCCCTGGCTGAAAAGTCCTATAAGTTGCTTACTGCACAGCTGAGGTGTTAGCATAGATGGAAATCCAGCCTGTGTTTCACTCCCCAGGCAATAGGTTCACATTGGCCCGGGACGGTGTCTGCCCCCAGAGGAGTTATTTTCTCCATTTACACAAGGCCTTGCCATTCTCTGTGTCTTCCTCACTGCTACCCACAAGTCATGCCTTCAACGTTATGGACATCTGAAAGCTGAAAGATAAGCAGATGTTTTCCAGACAAAGTTTAGGCCAGGTGGAACAATAAAGGGGAGCATCATGTATGAGGTCTGGGGGATATAAAACAAGCCTGGTGGCCTGGCTGGCATGATTCAGTGGTTGAGCCTTGACCTGTGAGCCAAGAAGTCATGGTTCGATTCTGGTCAGGTCACATGCCCAGGTTTCAGGCTAAATTCCCAGCGGGAGGCATGCAGGATGATTCTCTCTCATTTATTTTTCTATCTTTCTTCCTTTCCCTCTGAAATATTTTTAAAAAAAATAAAAGAAGCCTGGTGCATTTGAGGATCTGAAGAAAATTCACGATGGGTGGAGCGTGGAGTTCAAGGGGAAGTTTAGCAAAAGTGAGGCTAGGAAGGTACTCATTACAACTGGCATTTTCTGTGAATTTACTAGCTCACTCTGCTAATGGTTCTCCATGCATTATTTTATTGAGATTACAGAGGTTAAGTGACTTGCCCACAGTCATATGTTAGGAAATAGTGGAATTATGATTCAAAACCAGGTTTAACTTCAGAGCCTGTGCTCCAAACCACTTGTTCTGTGGCTTCAAATAATTTGCAACAGTGGATTGCAAAGGGACAAAATTGAAGGAAGGAAGGCCAGGGAGGAAATAGTTGCAGAAATGCAGGCAAGAAATGTTGGTGGACTTAACATGACCTTGGAAATGGGAAGGTGTAGGAAGATTCCAGAGATATTTAGGAAGTACAATCTACAAAACTTGGTGCTTGTTTGAATATGAAGGGCAATGATGAGAAGAGGAAGGAGATAAGGATGACCCTTACAGTGTGTCTTTGTGGATGGCATGTCATTTGTTGAGATAGAAAATGGTGGAGGGACAAGTTGGAAGCACCTGTGGGACATTCAGGTGCAGATGTCCAGTTGATGCTTGGATGCTTGGGCCCGAAACTCAAGGGAGGCTGTGTATAATAGTTAACTGACATCAACATGTAACCCACAGAGTGGGTATTAGAGAATGTAGAGTGAGAAGAACAGAGAGTTTCTCCTAGGATAGCCATGCTAAAGCAGATCCAGCTGTTGAGCTTTGTAGGACATAACTGGACTCTTGATTTATCTGCATCCTTTTCAAGAACTAGTCTTCAAAGGTTTGTGGAGTGTCATGTTATAAATTGTAACCAGAGATCTGTGATGAGGAAGCACAAAAAAGGGAGGCTACCAAGATAAAGGAAAAAAAATAACTGGCCTTCCTGACATTTTTGTTTGATTTAAAGTCAAATGTAAACTTAAGTATGACCCGTAAGAACATATGTGCTGAATAAGGTAGTATTATTGTTATTCAAGGAATTGCCAATTGCCTATGCATTAATTACACAGAAGAATAAATGGAATAAAATCCAGCAGCAACATCAATGGAGGCCTTAGCTTATCAATGGCCTCTTTAAAATGTGGCCCTCACCTAGTCTGTGTGGCTCAGTGGTTGAATGTTGACCTATGAACCAGAAGGTCATGGTTTGATTCCCAGGAAGAGCACATGTTGGGTGTACAGGAGGCAGCCAATCAATGATTCTCTCATCACTGATGTTTCTCTCTCTCCTTCTCCTTCTCTGAAATCAATAAAATATATTTTTAATGTGCCCCTCACAACTGAACACAGACCTTCTCCTACATGAACAATTAAACTTCGCTGTATCTAATATAAAATGTTATAAAAATGAGATTCTGAGCCATGCCTTTCCCTGCTACTCTTCGGCTTTTCTAAATAAATTCTGAGCCACCTCTGTTGCAGTCATTATAACAAGATGGATATTCAGGCTTAGTTGACTTCATTGTGTCTCTCTTTTCTCTTAGAAAGGATCGCAGCAGTCTCTACATGATGTGGCTTCTAAAGATTCAAGGCCCACCCACCTTCCTAGTCTGCAATGGAAACGGCAGAAATGGAAATTCAAACATCACAATTCCCATTCTGTTATTGATCACTCTGTAGGCATGTGCCCCCACCGCAAGGAGTGAACTGCACCAAGGGGGAAAGTTCTTGGGGCCCCCAAACTTCAGCACTTCTGTCTCTCCCCCTGGAGAGGAAGCACAACTATGGCACTTTATAGCTGCTATTTGATCCTCTTGGCATTTATGTGGCACACTTCTGCCTATGGGCCTGACCAGCGAGCTCAGAAGAAAGGGGACATTATCCTTGGGGGACTCTTTCCTATTCACTTTGGAGTAGCAGCCAAAGATCAAGATCTAAAGTCAAGGCCAGAGTCTGTGGAATGCATCAGGTAAGGGAAGGAGCCACGTCAAAAATCTCTTCTCTTCTGGGTGGTTGGAGAAAAGCTGTACCAAACCCAAAACAATTCTTCAAACTTTGTTTCTTCTTTTCAAAAATGGTGATTGGAAATCATGCTGAAATTTAGTATCCTCCCACCCTGACTTTTTAAATAAATTTTTCCAAAAGTGTATCACCTTGCTTAACCTGGACTTCAGAAACCATTACAGCACCCCAAGTCTTGACCCATCTTCTATGAGAGAAAATAGCACCTTCATTTTGAGATTTGCAACTTCCAAAAGTGATTCAGTACTTTTCCTTGGTCTTCCTAGTAACTGAAAAATGAAAATGAAAAGTAGTATTATTCTAAGAAAAAAACTGAATTTTTGTTTATGTGCTAATGAGTGCTCACAAATTAGATAACATTCTCACATTTTCCTTATGAATTCAGAGAAACTAAATGCAAAATCATATTGATCCTGCTTATATCCTTCACATATAGCTGTGTGGAAAAGAACCCCTTTGCTGCACCCTGCTGGACAGAGTTGTGCATGTGCCACACTTACACCTATAAATAATTCAAGCAAGAAGCTTGACATTAAATAATATGTATTAAGAAAGATAGCAAAATTAGCTTAAAAGTACATATGTTTTATATACTCAAAAATTCTATAATATCTCTTCATAACTTTGCAGATTTTAAACAAATAATTAAATAACAGAAACATAAAGAAAATGGGTAAGAGAAAACATTAAAAGTTAGATCGGGACCTTTAGTACCCCAAACTAAAGTAGAGATTGTATTTCTCACCTCCTGTCATAGAGTTCAAGTAGTACAGCCCACAGTGAAAAGGTAGAACCTGCAGAGTTGTTTTGGGCAGAGATACACAGACTCAACACATTTTTGGAGCCTTGACTCTGAACCAAGTCTTTAGAGGATAAAACGGTGTCACTGACCCTATTTCTCTGTGTTAATTTGCTTAATTTTAATTTAAAACTATGTCCTTTGAAAAGCAATCCATGCTCATCTTTTAAAAAGAGGAAGTATAAACCAAAAGCACACAATTTTAAAACTCATATTCTACCACCCAGAAATAGCCAGTGTTTGTGAACAGCCTTCCTATGCATAATATTTGCTGATTTGTTTATTTACAAAGGTGAGGCTACTCATTTCCCTTTCCCCTTTGACCTCCAGGACTGTCATGGTCTAAATTTGTGACTTTGCAATCTGAGGTTATTCTTGGGCTCCTACATATTAAAGTCCTAACTTATTTTTATTTTCCCTAGTCCTTTTTCCTTTTCAATCTTTATAATACCAAGGAACCTTAAATTCTTTGCTGGGTGAGTCAGATGCAAATTATTAATTCTGTTACTAAAACAGTCTTCATTCTTACTATTCCCTAACTCTCTGAGGCACCATGCTGGGAGTTGTGCATAATTATCACCTGTTCCCAGCCACCCTAGGAGGTCTGTGCTATCCCCATTTACAGAGAGGACCTCGAGTCTCAAATAACCCAACGTCATGAAACCAAAAAGTAGCAGAGCCAACTCCAACTTCCATTGTATTCCATTTCTTCTTCCTTGCAGGTATAATTTTCGGGGGTTTCGCTGGTTACAAGCCATGATATTTGCCATAGAGGAAATAAACAGTAGCCCGGCTCTCCTTCCCAACATGACGCTGGGATACCGGATATTCGATACTTGCAACACCGTTTCTAAAGCCTTGGAGGCCACCCTGAGTTTTGTGGCCCAGAACAAAATCGATTCTTTGAACCTTGATGAGTTCTGCAACTGCTCGCGGCACATCCCCTCTACCATTGCTGTGGTGGGGGCAACCGGCTCCGGCATCTCCACAGCTGTGGCAAACCTGCTGGGGCTCTTCTACATTCCCCAGGTACCCGGGCCTGCTGAGGCGGGGCAACGCGGGCTGGGCTCAGGAGAACGGCGTGGGGGGCTGCCGTATGAGGTGTCCAAATAGTTAGCTCTTTTCCTCTCTCTAGCTATCCATGGACACAAAAGTCCTTTTAGTTACTTGGGACATTGGATCATGACCATTGGGGTTTTTTGAGACCCTCAATGTCAACATCAACTAGACTTTCACAAGTCTTCCAAAATTTATTTAAGTATGCCTTATGTAGCACCTAGTATATAACTTCTATTTGTTTATTATTTATTTATTTGTATACCTTGCATATAAGGTATACAAATAAATAAATGAACCACCAATGTGTTCAGTTCTTTATTTTCCACTCCATTCCTTTAGTAAATGACCTTTCTTCTGCCTTTACTAAAAGGAATGAGACCATATGTGTTAATCAAGCCGTTCAAACCCCAAATATGTCCCCAATCCTTCTCTACTCCCTTAAATATCTCTTCCTCTCAACTATCTGGTTGGAAATTTAGCTCAGAGAGAAGCAAAACATATTTCCTCCAAAATAGGAACTTGGTTGCACATCCTAAAAATGAAAAATATCTTATTCCATTCAACATCTATTTATAGAGTCTATATGAAAAAGCATCTCCACCCTGTAGGAAGTCAGCGTAGGTGGGGAGATGTCTGTATTTTCAGTGAATTGCACATTGACTGAAATATGTGCTTTGATAAATGTTTGTTCAAAGTTGCATATTTTTTCACCAAAGAACAGCAAACTTTAAATGTCATTTTATAATGTAATTTTTCTCCCTTAATACTATACAGCAAACCTTTTCTCATGATAATATTTATAGATCTATGACATCATTTTACAATAGTGAAAAATTGGAAACAACCTAAATGTCCATGGGTGGGAGAATCAGCTCAATTGTGATACATTCCTTATATCAATTTTTAAATTAAATTATAAATCACATTTTTAAATCAAATTTAATTTTTATGCCTAATATTTGAAATTTATACATTTCTTTGATAAATTCACGTTTCTATGTTGTGAGGTCCTTGTTTTGCTGGATGAGAGCCATTATCCCTTTACATATACGTGACAACAGAAAAAGTCTTGTCATCATTTCCCGAATCCTTACTTTCAGGGAATTAAAGGTATTTCCCATGGGGGATCCCTGGCTCTGTAACTTTTGTGCTAAAAAGACGTAACAAAGTGAATGTGTTGAGCAAAATGCAAATGGATACCTTGTAAATTTTATATATTGTGCAGTATTATTTTCAATACACAGTTAAAGCATATTGCTGTTATCTCATGTCCATCTAGTAAAAGATGTAATTGTCATCAATAAAGAACATGAAGGAAAATATTTTAATTTTTTGTGATTTGAATGAAAGATAATGTTAACTTTAATTTGAATATTAGAGATGCTGAGATGACTACAGTGATTATCAGTCAAACCAATGTAAGTGTCTCTACAGCAGTGGTTCTCTGCCCTATTGCATGTTGGAATCACTGGAGAGTTTTAAAAATACTGACCCCTGGGTTTTATTTCCCAGAGATCATGATGATGGCATGAGATGCAGCTTGGGTGTTGGGAGTTGGGAGTTTGGAAAGTTCCCGAGGCAATTCTAATGTGCAGCAGAGTTGGGAACCACAGCTCCGCAGGGTGCGGTCAGTGGTATTTCTGTGCCACTCACGCCACCAAGTGGATGAAACGAGCAGACCAGTTAGCCTGTTCTAACCATAATAAGTTGTGGTCAGAACAGTTCAGTGAATCATCCATGAAATTCTCCCCTCTTATAATGATAATTTTAAAAGTATGTGTTTTTTAAGGGGTTTTGCAGGGGGAGGGAGTACAGAGTGGTGTTTATCCCCACACTGGACAAATATTAAGAGTGAGTGCATTCTTTAAGAGAAACATATGCATGAGGGATATGTTTGTTTTTCAATTGTATTTCTTTAAAATTCTTTTTGGCCAAATTTCAAAAATCAAAAAGTAAGCAGTGATGAATGGATTTAAAAATTGCCCAAGTAGGTTTTTCATTTCAAAAACCAGATTTAGAAGCCTATTGGTTGGGTCTGCAAACAGAGCATCTCAAGAAATTATTTAATTTCACTATCTCATTAACTTCCAAGGTACAGCAAGCAGAGGCTTGTTCTTATCAAAAATAATTTTTGTCAATTTCACATTATAGCTGCCAAATTCAAAGTTCTTATTTAAAAAAATATGACCGCCCTTTCGCAAAATTGGTCCAGATTTTCATAGATCAGTGCCTTTTATATTTTGGTATAGAAATGATCCAATGATAAGAAGGAACATTTTAGGAAAAAATCATTTTAAAAACACTGAACATAGGAAATTAATTGTTTCAATTGGTGATAAATATTTTAAAAGGAATTCTCCAAAATTTCTTTAAATTCATATTTTTAAGAAGTTTAAAAATCTCTCTAGAAAACTGGAGAACAAGTGATATTAATATCCTTCATTCCCTAGAAGAAAGTCCATTAGGTATAAAAACGCTTTGTTCTTCAGAAGATATGGCCCAATAACTTGGAACTTCCTAACTAGTGAGCCAGGACACACAGGAGTGCCTCAAGTTCATAACCCAAAGCCTGTTCAAAGTTTTGGATGGCTAAGTCAGAGCACCCTCCACCAGGTCTGCTCAGCCTCTTCCATTCATTATCTGTGTTGGTCACAATGTTGGGGGTGGGGAGGTTGGGAAGCTCTGTACTAACAAATGCTTTACATGATATTCAGATACTCCTGCAGGCAATGATCTTTTACCATCAAAGAAAAGGCTTTCTTCCCTTGGTTCCCCCCCCCCCCCATTCTTCTCTCTCTCCCCCTCCTTTTCCCTTACCTCCCCACCCCCACCACCATGCTCAAATATAGAACAGGCTATGTCTAAGAAAGTGGAAACACAGCAAGGCAGCTTTCCAGGGTTCCTTTTTCAGCCTCTCTAGGTTTCAGAGACCCTCCGAAAGCTTGTCCAGAGGCCTAGGCCATCACCTGAAATGAACAGAGGAAGGGGCTCTGGGTGGTGACTGAAGCCACTAAGAAGCCAGGAGGAGGGGAAAGGATGTATTTCTGACTATATTTAATAATGTGTATCATTGTTATCGTGGTGCGGGGGAATTGAGTCCTAATGGCTAGTTGGGCCTAAAAGATAAACAGTTCTTGAAAATGACTACAATTAAGGGTACTTTTATCTAAAGTACTGTGGGGAGGGAGAAGGGGAAAAGTGGGGGGAAGAGAGTGAATAGCTAGAGACTAGAGATGGACAGGAAGAGAGAAACCAGGCAGTCTAGGAAAGGGGAATCCCTTGGGGCTCCTCTGAAGAGACATAGGTTCATAACCCAAAGGGAACCTGTACCTTTCAGAAGTGAGTCACGGGAAAAGTGTTCATCACAGTAAACGGGGAGCTAAAATGTTCCGATCAGACCCCGGACCCAACAAGCAGAAGACGTGCATATGGGGATAGTGTAACCAACAAGGCAGTACTGAGGAGCTGAGGAGAAACAATGGGAGGGTGCATAAATGCTCTCCACGAAAGAATACATGGATCCTACTACTATTGAGCTGACTTTATGGCCAGACCCATTTTTGAGGGTAGCATTGTGAAGACCCACCTGCTGCGAATTAGAATGCTCCCTGACAGATTGACTGACAGGTGCTTGGATGCCCACACTGGACATTCTGGTTGTCCTCACCCTTTCATTGTGTCTGTAGTGAAGAACATATTTGATAAATTATATTAATAAATGCTCAACAAGCCACCTCCACATAGCCTTGAGGCTCACCTAGCATTGCCCCCATTCATTCCTTCTGTGTTCTGTATTCCTTCCAGGTCAGTTATGCCTCCTCCAGCAGACTCCTCAGCAATAAGAATCAGTTCAAGTCCTTTCTCCGTACCATCCCGAATGATGAGCACCAGGCCACCGCCATGGCGGACATTATTGAGTATTTCCGCTGGAACTGGGTGGGCACCATTGCAGCTGATGATGACTATGGCCGGCCAGGGATTGAGAAATTCCGAGAAGAAGCTGAGGAGAGGGACATATGCATTGACTTCAGTGAACTCATCTCCCAGTACTCTGATGAGGAAGAGATCCAGCAGGTAGTAGAAGTCATCCAGAATTCCACAGCCAAAGTCATCGTCGTCTTCTCTAGTGGCCCAGACCTTGAACCCCTCATCAAGGAGATCGTTCGGCGCAATATCACAGGGAGGATCTGGCTGGCCAGCGAGGCCTGGGCCAGTTCTTCTCTGATCGCCATGCCGGAGTACTTCCACGTGGTCGGAGGCACTATTGGATTTGGTCTGAAGGCCGGGCAGATACCAGGGTTCCGTGAATTCTTACAGAAAGTCCATCCCAGGAAATCTGCCCACAATGGTTTTGCCAAGGAGTTCTGGGAAGAAACATTTAACTGCCACCTCCAAGAAGGTGCTAAAGGACCATTACCCATGGACACCTTCCTGAAAAGTCAAGAAGAAGGTGGTGGTAGGATAAGCAACAGCTCCACTATCTTCCGACCTTTCTGTACAGGGGATGAGAACATCAGCAGTGTTGAGACCCCTTACATGGATTACACACACTTACGGATATCCTACAACGTCTACTTAGCCGTCTACTCCATTGCTCATGCCCTGCAAGATATATACACGTGCTTACCTGGGAAAGGGCTCTTCACCAACGGTTCCTGTGCCGATATCAAGAAGGTTGAGGCTTGGCAGGTACATCCTTCCTTTATATAGCAGTTCTCTGTATGATAAAGGAGAGTTCGGCCAATCTGGGCAAGACAGATAAAATGGTTACCACAAAGCAACAAGATCCTAATAAGGTCACTAAATGTAGCTTTGGATTCAAATTCCCTTTACAAATGCCTGAGTAACTGACTCTGAACAAATGATAGTAATTTAATTTGATTAACTGTTAATTGTTGGCTCAATTGTTCTCTGGCCTAGTGGTTAGTCTACAGTAGGGGTGTCGAACTCAATCAGAGAAGGGGCCAAAATCTAAAATCCAGCCTAAATCGCGGGCCGAATGGTTTACTGAACAGTCATAAACTGTCATTGTGATGGAAACACAGCGGAGTGCAGTGATGACAGCGCGGTGCGGGCCACATTGCAAGGCCTGGCGGGATGGATTTGGCCCGCGGGCCTTGTGTTTGACACATGTGGTCTACAGGATAGTCCCTAAAAGATTTTTAATATTCTGGGACAGATTTAGTACTGAGGGGAGGATATTTTTCTAATGCTTTAATTTAAAGATACTGCTGTGAGTAACAAGTATTTTTTTTTTTAGTATCTATTACATTCCATATGCTAACAGACATAAAACTAGTGTTACTGTGTATAGTCACCACTTTGCCATTATATTGCTCAAAATATAATGTACTAATCCACCCAATAGACCATTTAAGCTTAGGACACAAGCAAGTCAAGAGTACAGAGAAAGCTTGCCTTAAAAGGATTTGGTATTGGATATTTCAAAAAAGAAGCACCGAAATAGTTACAGTAGAAAATAATCAAAACTTAAGTGGAATTCCAATAGTCATTATATGGTTTAGTTTAGTTTTGTATTTTTAAATTACATGTAGGAGAGACATCATAATCTTTTCATGTCATAGAACTTATGAAGATAAGTCTGACCTGACTTACATCTTACATATCCATTCATGTCTTGCATATGTATCTTGATTTGTATTTTTTGAAGTGTAGTTGGTATACAATATTATATTAGTTTCAAGTATACAATATAGTGATTCAACATGTACATACCTTACAATGTGATCACCACACTAAGATTCGTAATAATCTGTCTCCGTGTAACCTTGCCACAATATTGACAATATTCCCCTTCACTTTTTTACCCATCCCCTCACTCCGCCTCCCCTCTGACAACCATAATTTTGATCTGTTTCTATGAGTCCATTCCTGTTGTGTTGTCTTTGATTGGTTGGTTTTATGTGTTTTTTAGATTCCACATGTAAGTGAAACTATACTAATTTGTCTTTTTCTTCCTGACTCATTTCACTTTGCATAATGCCTCTAGGTCCATGTTGTTACAAATGGCAAGATTCATTGTTTTGATTGCTGAGTAATATTCCATTATGTATAACTAGAGGCCCATTACACTAAGAGACTTGTTCAATAGGCCTTCCTTTCCTTGGCTTCCAGCATTGGTTTTACTCCAGCACCTGAGATCCAAGTCTTCTCTCTGGCCAGACTCTGCTGCCTTTGCTGCAGACTCCGGCCAGAGTTTGCCTTCTTCATCTTCTCTGCAGACTGCCATCTTCACCTTCGTCTTCACTACAACCAGAGTGTTGCTCCCATAGATCCCTTCACACCCCTCCCTCCCTCTCATAGCAGGCATCCTGCCCCACCCAGTCACTCCTGCCTAGAGCAGCTGGGCAGCCGTCATCTTTGTCCTTCTGATTTGCATATTCCCTCCTGATTGGCTGGTGGGGTGTAGCAGAGTGATGGTCAATTTGCATGTTTTTCTTTTATTTGTGTAGATTATATAAGACATCTTTATTTGAAGAAAACAAAAACAGTAATTCAAAACAATATATGCATATCTATGCTCATTGTAGCATTATTTGCAATAGCCAAGATATAGAAGCCACCTGGATGTCCATTGATAGATAAATGTACCTTGATTTTTAAATGGTGGTGGGATTTGGGGGGGAGGGGGGGTTTTTGGTTTGTTTGTTTTTAATATATTTTTATTTACTTCAGAGAGGAAGGAAGAGGGAAAGAGAGAAAGAAACATCCATGATAAGAGAGAATCATGGGCCGAAACCGGTTTGGCTCAGTGGATAGAACGTCGGCCTGCAGACTGAAAGATCCCAGGTTCGATTCCAGTCAAGGGCATGTACATTGGTTGTGGGCACATCCCCGGTAGGGGATGTGCAGGAGGCAGCTGGTCAGTGTTTCTAGTTCTTTATCCTTCGCCCTTCCTCTCTATAAAATATATTTTAAAAGAGAAAGAGAGAGAGAGAGAGAGAGAGAGAGAGAGAGAGAGAGAGAGAGAGAGAGAGAGAGATTGATTCATGGTGGATTGGCTGCCTCCTGCAAGTCTCCCAATAGGGATAGATCCCACAACCTGGGCATGTGCCCTTGCCCGGAATTGAACCTGGACCTTTCAGTTCGCAGGCCAACACTCTATCCACTGAGCCAAACCAACTAGGGCTAGATGGCAGTTATTATAGTAGGATTTCAATATGTCTCTAATTAATAAATTAGGGGGCAGGGGGACACTAAAGTAACTTTGTACACAGAACCAAGTCACCATAAACCCTTTGGAAAAGATACTGAGACACAAGGAATGTACAACCTGTATCACTCATTTTAGAGGTTCTCAGGGAATGAGTGACTCTTGAAGCTCGGCAGAATGAGTCAGAACACACAAGATTTTAGTTGTTCTTGTGTGGGAAATATCTAACTCAGATGTCATTGTTGGCTGAAGTTTCTAATATCTATGAAATCCTTAAAGTTTCCTTCCTTGAACTGCACACGCCCCCGTCCCCAACTCTGTCAGAGAAAGAGGAGCTTTACTGAAGGTCAAAGACCAAAAATAATTCAGGAGCCATGACTGTAACTTGTGGAGTTTTAAGAAGAAATAAATATACAATATTTCAATAAATACTAGTGTCTTCCCTTGCATGTCCTCTGGAAAGAGGAACCCAGCTCCTGAAAACCTACAGAGCCAGGGTGGGGTTGAAGGGAAAGACACTTCCAGTGTATAATTTGACATTCTGCTTTTCAGTGAATCCTCTCCCAGACAAGGATATAAGACCCAGATGGTCAAGATCAAAGCTTGAACATACAATAAAAAAGCCAAGAATCAGGCTATAGTCAAAATATGAACTTTTAGTGGCATGTTTAGAAAATACAAACCAATGGGCTTAAACAAAAGAAGAACATTATTAGTGGCTCATAATACTGAACATCTCAGAAGTACAACTAGATGCTTTCATCTCCACGTCTCTCTTCCTTAATCCTCAGGATTAACAACAGTTTCAGGTTCATAAAATCCTTGCTGCTAGTCTCTCCTTACTTCCTAGGATCTCCTGTAAATGTGCCAAAATCCACATTGATTGACCAATCTAAGGCCACATACTCATCTCTGAAGCTAGAACTTTATAGACTGAGAGTAAGGCAGGGAATAGATCCCCCCATATTAAATCAGGATGCTATTACGAAAAGAAGGTGGAAAGAGAAACAAAACAGCCAAAATAAAATGTTCTCTACACAGACACCTCAGCTGACCCTAGTACTAGTAAAGATGTGCCTCCTGACTCACATACAGTCTGGTGCAATTCATCCAGGAGAGGAAACAGGAAAATAAGGCTGGAGCTCTAAAAAGGAATAACATGTGGGCACCGGCCAAAATGTCCTGTGCTGAAAGTCTCCTTTGAACCTCAGGATTCCAGGCAGTTAGGTGGGTATTCAGGAATTTAAGATCTTGGACATGTATCTATCAGAAGATGGACCAGCAATGATTCACACCCATTATTAAGACCTACATGGAAACCTGTCACTCATACTATCTATACAATCTAATCCAAGAACCTCAGCCTGGAATTGCACCTTCTCTCAATTGTCTTATAAGCCAACCATTCTGATGTCTTCCCACAAAACACTAATTACTTTCGGCATAGAATTTTTGCTTAGATACTATCCCACACCCAAAGAGCCATCATTGTTGTCTATGATTGTCCACAGCAAACTTTTAACTCTTTTTCAAAATTTACTTTCTCTTGAAAGTCTTTTCAAGTCATAGTCCCCCACCCACTCAAGCACAAGCACACACACTTTCTGGCCATTCTTTCTTCCTCATTTTTGCCATTTATACACCCAGTTTAAACTTCCACAGCTCTTCAGTTGACTGAAATAGTCATTTTCTTTTGTTGACCATTTCTGCACACACACACCCAGCTAAAATGTATCAATCAACTAACTCACATGCCTGTTAGTAATACTAGCAGGTAATTTATGAGCATACAACACACAATTACCTCCTGACCTCCACGGATATCCACCACCACCATCCTCCTCATGCTGCTCATCAGCTCTCTCCTCACTGTGATCCCCCCATTATACTACTCTAAGCTTCTTGAGGGCAGGAATCACATTTGTATTGTTCAGCAGTGTTCAGAACACCTGGCACCTGAATGAATGTGTGTAGAATAAAGGAATGAATGAGTAGCAGTCTAGTTGATTTGACCTAGAGTCCTTTGTAGAGAATTGTTCAACCCTGCATCAAGCACTGGCCAGGGTATTCTAAGCTGTTATTGGAAGAACCTGGGTCACATGTCCAATAATCAAGTTTGAATGGGACATCATGAAGTATGGAACTGCCTTCTTCCTTCTGTCAGGATGACTGTGCACAAGACATGCTTCCTCCACCATATACAAACCACTCAGTAGACCAAAAAAACAGGCATGCATGATGACAGGACCATGGTAATAACAGAAGCCAAACAAAACTGATCTTTCCAGGAATTACTAGTACTGTTGGGGTTGGGAGAAGGGAAGTGAATTGAGGTGAGCGTCAAAGGAGATGCAAAAGATGGAGTCAGAAAATAAGGATGAGGTTAGAGAAGGGAATTGGTCAAGGATTTTCCCTACTCTCTTAGCACAGGAAGTGGCCAAGAAGCAATAGGATCCTTATCTGTGTGAACTCTCCTTTAGTCCATGTGAATGGGGTTCTTTGTTCATCTTGTGCCACTGTCCCTCTGTGCTAGGAAGTGATGCCAAGAGTAGAGGGGAGGGTAAATCATTGACTATTATGGGACACGATGAAATTTTTAACTCGAAAAAATTCAACACTCATATGATTTTATTTATACCCCTGCTGTGAGGATGAAACACTATACAGGTTAGGGTTTGAAGTAAACAAGAAAATAAAAGATGTCATTCAAGTTGGGCCTTGAAGGCTGGATAGGATTTATAGAAAGGATCTGTTCCTTGGAAAAATTGTAAACTGCAAAGGCAAACACACCCAACAATGAAGATGAATCACAAAAAACATTATGTTACATGGAAAATATTCAGACCAAATACATACTGTGTGTTTCATTTATACAATATTCTGCCTCTAATGATAGAAAACAGATCTACAATGGCTTAGGGCTGAAAGTGGGAGTGGGATTAATTTGGAAGGGACATCAGGGTGCCTTTGGAAGTGATGGTAGTGGCAGTTCACGGGCATATACATCTGCCAAAACTCGGAACTATACTCTTAAAATGGGTGTATTTTATTCTATGTAAATTGATTTAAAATACAAAACAATGGAAAGTCCCATGGGCGGGAAAGTACAGGCCTTTCATGGAGATCTGGATATCACTCAGTTTCTACCTTTTTCCTATTATAGGCTCTTGTGTTGCCACAGCATTATACATGTCTCCACCTCCCACTTCTAAAATATGTCCATTTTCTCAACCTTAATTTTTATATTAGTTAACCTATTATAACTAGGGATAGACAACTTAATAGATACTGCCTACTCTGACTCCTACACCTGTGTTGTAGTATATAGTGAAAGGGTTGAGAGTTTGGACTCTAGAATCAGACTAACTGGATTTAAATCCCAGTTGCTACCTAATAACTTTATGACTTTGGAAAGTCATTTAATGTATCTCAGTTTCTTCACCTGAAAAATGGAGATATGAAACATAAATGTATTATGAGAATAACATCCATTGATATGTATAAGATACTTAGGATACTGCCTATATATAGTAAATGCTCAGTAAATATTAGTCTTGAGTATTATTCTTTTGTAGGTGAGGAAAGAAAGGCTCAGAAAAGCTAAATTGACTTGCCTGAAGTCATATTTAGCCAATAATAAGAAAGGCAACTTCTGCCACAGGCATTCTTTCTCTGATGAGGCCAAGGTAACTGTTAAAAGATCCATGTGCCCAGTTGTCCCTCTGGTGTATTGCTGTCATCATTCTTACATGGAACAGTTCTGGTGTATTGCTGTCATCATTCTTACATGGAACAGTTCTGGTGTATTGCTGTCATCATTCTTACATGGAACAGTTGTTTTTTTGGACTTACTCTCCTCTTCAGGTAATGCTCAGCTGTTACTGAAACATTATTGCACTACTAGAGGCCTGGTGCACAAAATTTGTGCACTTGTGGGGGGACGTCCCTCAGTTCGGCCTTGCAGTCTGGAAGCCATTGAGGGTTGTCCAACTTTCAGCTTAGGCCTGCTGCACTCACCAGCCATATGCCCCAATTCTGGCTCTTTCATTGAGTGTCTGCCCCCTGGTGGTCAATGTGCATCATAGTGACTGGTTGGTCTGCTGTTTTCTTGATTTGCATTTAGCCTTTTATTATATAGGACTAGAGGTCTAGTGCACAAAATTCGTGCATAAGTGGTGGCGGGCGGGGCGGGGGGTCCCCTCAGCCCAGCCTGCACCCTTTCTAATCTGGGACCCCTCGAGGGATGTCCAACTGTCCATTTAACATACAGTCAGATACCTCTCTCACAATCCAGGACTTCTGGCTCCCAACTGCTCTCCTGACTACCTGCCAGATTGCCCCTAACTGCTTCTGCCTGCCAACCTGGTCACCCTAACTGTCCTCTCCTGCAGGCCTGGTTGCTCCCAACTGCCCTCCCCTACAGGCTCAGTTGTCCCTAACTTCCCTCCCCTGCCAGCCCAGTTGCCCCCAACGGCCTTCCCCTGCATGCCTGGGTCTCCCTCCCCCCCCAACTGTCCTCCCCTGAAGGCCTGGTAGCCCCCAACTGCCCTCCCCTGCCGTCCTGATCACCCCTAATTGCTCTTCTCTGCCAACCCTGTCACCCCTAACTGCTCTTCTCTGCTGGCCCAGTCACCCCCAACTATCCTCCCCTGCTGGCGTGATCACCCACAACTGCCCTCCCCTGCCGGCCATCTTGTGGCAGCCATCTTGTTTCCACATAGGGACAGCCATCTTGTGTGTTGGAGTGATGGTCAATTTGCATATTACCTCTTTATTATATAGGATTATACAGGATGGTGATTCCAACTCCCCTTTCCCTCAACAGAGTGATGGAGGTTTTATAATAAGTTTATTCCATGTTTTGAGTGTTTACTGAAAATTAAATGTGTGCTAATAATAAAAAATTACACATGTAGCCCTAACAGTTTGGCCCAGTGGATAGAGCATTTGCCTATGAACTGAAGAAGCGTCCCAGGTTCAATTCTGGTCAAGGGCATGTACTTTGTTTGCTGGTTTGATCCCCAATAGGAGACATGTAGGAGGCAGCTGATTGACGTTTCTCTCTCATTGATGTTTCTAATTCTCTATCCCTGTCCCTTTCTCTCTGTAAAAATCAATAAAATATATATTTTTTTAAATTTGACATGTAAAATATGATATTTAGCTGTAGCTTTCCTAACAGATCACAAAGGAAATATTTACCCCCCCAAAATCCAAGACTTCTCTTTTTCTCTTATAAAGAGAACGTTAACATTTTATCCTGTGAAAACCACAATTCTTATGTCTGCCCTATACACTATTAAGTAAAATCTTTTAGCACATTTTTTAAAACAAATTCTACTAATATTTCATTGTTTGCCTGTTTGTTTCGTCTTAACCTGGAAGGTTTTTGTTATTTTTAAATCAAAACACAAGAATATTGATTATAGTTATAGTTCAGAGGGAGAAATTGTACTGGCCCTTTATCCTAGTTTTCAGTAATTTGCTTTTCAATATACTAGTATAGGTTTAAGTTCAACCAATTACATAAAAGCTTTAAATTCTATGGTCATCAATGGTAAATTTTTTAAAAAGTGAATCCTATGTCATTTCACTTTATCTGAAAGTTCTTCTGTTTGTTTGTTTGTTTGTTTTTGTTTTTGTTTTAGTGTAGAACTTAGATCTTTATGTTTTTGTCCTAAATCAGCCTGATCCAGTCCAGTTGTCCTGGTTAAGACTTCCAGTACAGCTACAGTGGGAACAGACATTCTTGTCTTGTTCATGAACTTAGGGGGAAAGCAGTCAGTCTTTATTTTTTTTTTTAATAAAGTTTGTTTGATTTCAGAGAGGAAGGGAGAAGGAGAAAGCTGAAAAATGGAGATATGAACCATAAATGTATTATGAGAATGATGAGAGAGAATCATTGATTGGCTGCCTCCTCCACACCCCCTATTGGGGATTCGGCCCGCAACCTGAACATGTGCCCTTGATCAAAATCAAACCCAGGACCCTTCAGTCTGCAGGCTAAGGCTCTATCCACAGGCTGATGCTTTATCCACTGACCAGGTAGGGCAGCAGTCAGTCTTTTACAATTAAGTATGATGTTACTAATGTAGGGGTTTTTTTTATAGATGTCCTTTATAGCATTAAGGAAGTTCCCTTTTATTCTTAGATTGCTGAGAGTTTTTATCTGAAATGGAGGTTGGAGGTTATAAACATGTTTTCTGTAACAATGGAGATGATCATATGATTTCTCTTTGTAGCATGTTAATGTAGTCAAATGACAAACTCTACTTGGTCACAGTGTATTTTCCTTTTGGTAGATAGCTAGATTTGATTTGAAATTCAGTGAAAGTTAGCACCCCTATACTCAGAGGCTGGATCATGCCTTACTCTTTCTTGGTGCCTCAGTGACCCCTAGCACTGGGTAGATCCCACATGAAAGACAAGCTGCTGAGTGCCCACTGCCTCCTCTTGACCCATGTCAGGGGCACTCAGGAAGCAGAGCCAGGAGCCTAACAATACTTCTATAGGGCATACCTATGAAGAGCACAGGCTTTGCACCCCTTGATAGCTATATGGCCTTGAAAAGATACTTTTGTTTTCTGTGCCTCGGTTTTCCCAAAAATAAAATGGGGTTAATAGTACTATTAGTTATGAAGATTAGATTAGAAAATAAATATAAATTATTTAGCATTGCTACCCAAAAGGAATAAAATGACCAGAAAGGCTTAGTAATTATTATCATTACTTCTTTTGTACAAGGGCTTTGTGACCCATAAGACCCTGTAAAAATAAGAGATAGGCCATAACTATTACACTAGGACTCCACCCACAGCCTCGTTTATTTCTTCCTCTCACTTCCCTCTGTCTTCCCTTTGGTAGCAAGACTTGCACAAAAGCAGTAGCATAGAGAAAGGTGGTACAGATCACAAGGGCACTTAGCGCCTCACTCCTTCCCCAAAGCCTATCTCAGAAAACACCAAGAATGGCTCTGGCTTACAAACCAGTCCCTCCTGGGGCACCACCAGATGATAAGGCACCTGTAGAAGTCTTGTCTTGCCCTTTGGTGAGATATATCTCCTTTCCTTCCCTAATTTTGAGAAAGTCTTTCCTACCCCAGGTACAATTTAAGCACCACGTAAAGCCCCTAGCTTACCAGGGCTGCTGCTAACACATGAAGTACCCCTGTATAAATGAGAAAAAGGGGCCGCTTCCTCAAGTCATGTTCCTTCCACTTTATTAGATAAGATAGTTTACTGTCCTCTCACCGTGCAAAAACCTACATAACCATATGTGGCAGCCCTGTGGCTCATATTCAGAATATTCATCTCTGTTCCTCTTTAGGTCCTGAAGCACTTACGTCACCTAAACTTTACCAACAATATGGGGGAACAAGTGACTTTTGATGAATGTGGTGACTTGGTGGGGAACTACTCCATCATCAACTGGCACCTCTCTCCAGAGGACGGTTCCATTGTGTTTAAGGAAGTTGGATATTACAACGTCTATGCCAAGAAAGGAGAAAGGCTCTTCATCAATGAGAAGAAAATCCTGTGGAGTGGGTTCTCCAGAGAGGTATGTGCTGTCCATCTGAACACCACATGCCTCCACCCTGGCAGGAAATGTGCTGGGCTTTGGAGGGCCTTGGACCGTTCACCACTGGACTTCCAGAATGAGTCCACTTCCCTCCGCTCACTCACTCTGCATCGCTAGGGCGCCCCATGAAATCCATGAGTGTTTAGTGTACAACAGAGAATCCTTGGAACCCGAGCCCTATGCTTATCATTTTAAAACAATTTTATTCTTTACAAATCTGACTCCCTGGCTAGTAATGGTTTCCTTAACTAAAACTTTCTCCAACCCGAGCAAAATATTTAAGCAAACATAAATATCATTCAAGGCAAAGCCTGGATAATTAATTCACAAAGAGTTAGTTCCCTATGATTCAAACATCTCAGGACTGCTGACCTATCAACCAAAATGAACATATATTTTTCTCCTTGGGAGATGTATAACACATAGGTGGATGTTTGTGACCATGATCAGGGTCCTCCTCCCTTGAGTATCACCGCATCCAGATGCCTGGTTAATAACCAGAAGCCCATCACCCAGTGAATATGCTCTCCAGGAAAAGACATGTGATATGCTAAAATGATGAACATTCTGTGGGGGTAGTGTCCCAGAATATAATAGGCTACTGAGGACCCAGGTCCTCTGTAGATACAAATCCTGGACAAGAGTTAAATCCTCTTTAACTCTCCCAAGATGCCTGGATGAAACCCACTACAGTACTCTTTGTATTTGCCTTTCTAGTATCACTTTCGAGTATCGTGAACTACTTTATAAAATGTGACCAAAGATTCAACTTCATCTGTTACCAAATGCTCCTTAGGTTGGTTGGTGGGTATCTGATCAGATGCTATACTTTTATTGGTTCCCAATAAAAGTAGGATAGTTATCCATGCAAAGGTCTATTATAGATAGTGAAGCTTATCCACAGGGTGCGAGTTATTGCTAGCCTCTTACTCAGAGAATGGATTCTCAATTTTAAACATGTCACGACCCTTTCCAGACAGAGATTTGGGGCTTCCAGATATTATACAATTCTCTCCACTAATTATACCCTTGTCTAAAGTTTCAACTGACTGTAATCTAAACTGATCGGCTATACTATCACTAATTCCCTGTTGTTAAATCACCCAGGTTATCTCTTACCTCCATTAATGTACATAATTGATTGTCTCTAATAGGTGTATGTCTCATCTCCCTTGAGAGGTGTATGTCTCATAGGTGTATGTCTCATCTCCTGCAATGAAGCTATTTCCTGTATAGTTCTCTATAACCCTAATTCCTGTATAGTTCTCTATAACCTATAACAGCCTGTGCAGACTGTGGGTTTAAACATTGGAAAATGAATAACAATGAATCTTCATGAACTCAGTCACTTCTGTTCCTGAGGTAGTTGACAGAGTTTATAAATTAAATCTAATTTTTCCACAGAAATGTTACTTCAAACTTAGTACACATAGGTACTCAACAAATATTAGGGTCTAATCCACTTTTTTCTGCATTTTTATAGAAATGACCACAAAAATGTCCTCTATCTTGACCTATAAATAATGTATTAATAGTTTCTCAACATAGCTCACAAAGTTGTTAATGAAATCAAGGATATAAAATTAATAATGCAAACTGTTATTAATATATCATTTATATATTTAAAAGCCCAGCGACTTTGATGGCAGAATGACCAGAACGACTGGTCACTATGATGTACACTGACCACCAGGGGCAGTCACTCAGCACAGGAGCTGCCCCTGGTGGTCAGTGCACTCCCACAGGGAGAGTGCTGCTCAGCCAGAAGCCGGGCTCATGGCTGGCTAGTGCAGTGATGGTGGTGGGAGCCTCTTCTGCCTTCACAACAGCAAGCCAAATGGTAAGGAGCAAGCAGGTGGGCAGTTAGGAGCAAGCAAGTGGGAAGTTAGGAGTGATAGGTCCCAGATTGCAAGAGGGTGTGGGCCAGGCTGAGAGCCCCCCTGCCTACGTGCACAAATTTTGTGCATCTGGCCTCTAGTTATAATATATTAATCAATATCTTGATTCAATATCTCGATTTACTTTCTAATGAAGCACTTTAGAGCCAAGGGGTCTTTTTTTTTTTTTTAAGCTAGAGGGGCTTTAAATATCTTTGTATCCAAAACCCCAATGTGAAGATGATGACACTGAGGTTTAGAAGGGAAAGAGTGATTTCAAGATAAGATAAAAGGTCAGTATAAGAGTTGAGACTGGGATCCAAGTGCTCTGACTCAGACCCTAGTGCTCCATCCTATACTATACTCTCCATAATTATTTCCTTATTTTATTACAACAAATAAGAAGGAAAAGAGGGTTCTTCTTTGGGGTCTTGGAATTCAAATGGTCTTGCTTGGCCAGAATTGGAAAGGTATCTTTGGTGCAGCTATTCAGAAGAATTAAAGATACTTGCTGGCTTTTTGCAAAATGGATTTTTCTTGATGGCTATCCATCCCACTTCTTTGGTGGTGGGATTTCTCTTTAGCTGAGGGATGCAGAAGGAGGCAATAAGGGGGCACCGAGGATGGCATTATTACAATTCTTCACTAGTATAAAGCAAGCTTTTCATACAGTGAAAAGTACAGACTTTGGAATACTTACCTGGGTGTGAATCCACGCTCTCCAATAAGTTACTATATGACCTTAAGTTTGTTTTTTAACCATTATGGAGAAAAACTTGGCATGACAAAGACTGCTAGAGGCCCCCAATGTTTGTTCTCCTTTTTTACTTTTAATAATAGAACTCAATTTTAACTGGGCACATGACCATCCAGAATTTTAAAATTTCCCAGTCTCAGCTAAGTATGGCCACATGACTAAATCCTGCATCATGGGATGCAAGTGGCAGTGTTATGTGATGGAATCTGAGAACCTTGGTTTAAGAAAGTGCTTGCAAGAATCCTTTGCTCTCTTCATCTTTTCCTTGATCCTGATTCCTAGAAACCAGCAGGTAGCAGCTAGACAGGGTGTTCACTGGGATTTTTGCTGAGTAGCCTCGGACCTTGTACTGGCATGGAGATTGAACCTATATAAATCGGGTGAACCCCATTCACCCTACCTGGTGACTCACTGATAACTTGCCTCATGCAACTCAAGTACCACCAAAAACTCTTTCAGTAACTGAGCCTAATAGGAAGCCAGCAGGTGGAAGCGGCAGAAATGGACCTAGGGGGTCCCTTAGGCCTTTCTGCTGACATGTCCCCAGCGTTGGTGCTGGTGGAATTCTGCCTTGGTGGACACCGTGGTCCTTCTCACACACATTCAGAGGCAGAGGCAGCCACAAAGTGACAGGTAGCTCAAGACCAGTCATAGGCAGTGTCTGATATTGATTTGCACCAGAATTCCTCCTAAGAGATCCCAGAACCAACACACTCAGTGGCCAACTTCAGACAATATCAAGGCAGGATTCAATTAGTTTCACAAGTAGCATATCCAAAGGGAGATCTCAGCAGGCACCAGAACCTGCTGAAGCAAATTTTGCTTACTGTGCTCAGTACCTACACAGCAACTTATACACTGTGCTCAAGGTTGAACCTCATCCTTGAGGGCTGAACCCACCCACAAATGGGCCAATAAAGATTCAATTACAACAGGGGGACTGATATAACCCACATAAGAAATATTCCTGCCGAAACCAGCTTGGCTCAGTGGTAGAGCGTCGGTCTGTGGACTGAAAGGTGCCGGGTTCAATTCCAGTCAGGGGCATGTACGTTGGTTGTGGGCACATCCCCGGTAGGGGGTGTGCAAGAGGCAGCTGGTCGATGTTTCTCTCTCATCAACGTTTCTAGCTCTCTAGCTCTCTCCCTTCCTCTCTGTAAAAAAATCAATAAAATATATTTTAAAAGAAAAGAAAAAAAGGAAATATTCCTACAGCACCCAACTCAGGTTATCAAAAGACTGCACCACTGGAACCCACAGGACACCTATTATCTAAGGACACCCTACCAATACTGGAAGACATAGCATATCTACTTAATACATAGAAACAAATATAGAAAGGCAGTCAAAGTGGGAAGACAAAGAAACATGCTCCAAATGGAAGAATAGGAGAAATATCCAGAAAAAAGAAGAAAAAAAAAGAGGGCTAAATGAAATGGAGGCCAGCAATTTACCAAATATACAGTTCAAAAACGTGGTTATAAGGATGCTCAAGAAACTGAGTAAGAACTAAGAGGAACTTATTGAGAACTAAAACAGCATGAAAACAGCTATAGAAACCATTAAAAAAAAAACAGTCAGAAATGAAGAATATAGTATCTGAAGTGAAGAAATCACTATAAGAAATAAATAGTAGGTTGGATGAAACAGAGGATCAAATCAGCAATTTGGAAGACAAGGTAGCAGAATTTGAGCAGCAAAAAGAAAAATAGAATCCAAACATATGAGGATAGTTCAAGGGACCTTTGAGACAATATGAAATATAACAACATCTGCATCATACAGGTTCCAAAAGGAAAAGAAAAAGAAAAAAAAACCAACAGATCAAGAACCTACTTGAAGAAATAATGGCTGAGAATTCCCTAATCTGATGAAGGGAAAAGACACACAAGTCCAGAAAGTGCAGAGAGACCCAAACAAAATGAATCCAAAGAGGCTCATACCAAGACACATCATAATTAAAATGGCAAAGTTTAAAGACAAAGAGAGTGCTAAAATCAGTCTGGCTCAGTGGATAGAGCGTTGGCCTGCAGACTGAAAGATCCCAGGTTTGGTTCTGGTCAAGGGCATGTACCTTGGTTGCGGGCACATCCTCAGTAGGGGGTGTGCAAGAGACAGCTGATTGATGATTCTCTCTCATTGATGTTTCTAACTCTCTATCCCTCTCTCTTCCTCTCTGTGAAAAATCAATTTAAAAATATATATTTTTTTAAATAAAGACAAAGAATCTTAAAAGCAGCAAGAAAAAAAATGAATTACCTACAAAGGAAATTCCATAGGACTTTCAGCTGATTTCTCAACAGAAACATTTCAGGCGTGAAGAAATTAGTATAAAATATTCAAAG